CTTATTTCATTATTTTTCTTTCTACTTACTTATTGTTATATTTGTTACGCCATCCTTATTCCTATTTTTATCCAGTTTCAGCTTTTAGTTGGTTATTGGCTTGCTTGCGCTTCTTTTCTATTTTATTTACCTTATTGCTATACATTATTTTTTGGTATGCTAGTTCGCTTTTGTTTCTTGTTGTAAATGTATGTTGATTATATCTTGTTTGAGGGTTTGGTAAGACTCTGGGATTTATTTGTGATATGTGTTTTTTATGATATGCTGGTTCGCTTTTGTTTATTGTCATGAATGCTCGTTGGTTATACATTGTTTGGGGGATTGGTAAGGCTCTGGGATTTATTTCTGCTATGTGATTTTTTGCTATATGCTCCTTTTCTCTTGTCAAGTGTTTCTAATGTAAGGCGATTAATTGTTTATCTTGAGTTTGTCTGTGTTGTAGCTTCATTCTTGAGAAGAGAGTGATTGGGAGCAGGTGCAAAAAAAAATTGGAAAAACTATATCCTTGGGATATGATCGGGTGGCGCAGTAGATCTGTGATTAATTTTGGCCAACACTATGCCTTAATTTTGGCCGATCTTTAGAGTACATAATTTGAGGATCCTACTTAGCGCTATGATAGTGACCTGATAGTATCATGGAACTATCGTGGAACTATCATGGAACTGGCAGGGAGCTAGAAAGGTTCTATTATTTTGTCAGTTTTATGTCAGCTTAGGTGCCGAATTATTATATCCAAAGTTCTGACTGAAATTGTGGAATAGTATTGGCCAAAATTAGACTGCGCCTTACTGCACCGATCACGTGATACTGTTTGGTACCAGAATACCCTCAGATAGTTATTTGCAATTTCTTGATCAGCCATAGATAAAAAAAAAATCAGTTAAATTTGGCCGACACTATGGCATGTAAATCTAGCAGGCTAGTGACGGGAACATTTCCAGAATATTTCCAGAACCTAATATATATGTATTTGTGCCACATATTTTTTGTATCCAAAGATCTGGCCGAAATTCTTGAACTTTAAATATGTTTCTGAAATCTTCCCAACCAATACTCTCTAACTCCAGTCTGGTGATCGGTTGGTTAGAGAATTGGAGATGCAATATGTATTATCTTGGCCGGCCCATTTGATTGCTAAAAGTGCATCACTAATTATTGCCTATTCGTTGCTGGCATATTGGTGGGACGTTATGAGCACTTCCGAGATTTATTCTGGATCAAGACAATGAGTATAAAATTAAGAGAAACTTTCTTAATGTATGCTATTTGTATGCCATTCGTATGCTATTTTTTGAGCGTCACAGGTGTCATAAGTTCCATATACTAACCTGTGACACAACCTGTGACATGTTCGTTATGCTTCTTGGAATTATTAGGCTATTTCATTTCTTTCTTGATTAGTGTCACAGGTGTCATAAGTAAAAGAGTAATAAATTCTAGGGAAAAAAAATCGATTTTTTTATGCTATCCTAATGCTGTATATGTATCATGATATAGTATATGTATGATATTTATGTGGCGACGTGGAGTATATATGCTAAAAAAAAAATAAAAGTTGGGAACCTCGGATTTTATCCTATGACACCTATGACACCTGTGACACTCATCAAGAAAACTTTCTTTCGGCCTAGAATTCTTAAAGAGCCTATCGTTTGCGTCACTAGCTTCTGTCACCAGCTTTTTTTTCCTGTGTCACTAGTGACAAGTTGTATCATTTTCGTTTACCTCTAACTTACCTATCAGTATCTCTACCGAAGCTAAGTCTACCATCCTTTTCCGATGGTATTGTTCCCTTTTACGGTGCTTTCTAGCATGATCATCGCAATATCCATATCCGGAATAAGATAATTTTCCACATTCTTTGCAAAATACCTGAGAAGGAGAATTGCGATGAATAAAACATCCTTCCGGATGGTAGCATCCCCGATTGCAAATCTTACCACTCCTGTGGATATAAGTACATCGATAAAATACCATTTTTTTTAACTATGGATAGTTGATTTATGTATCGATCTATATAGTTCGGAATTAATTTTCATTTTAAACTTTTTTCTCCCGGAGTATATAG